TGTTGTGCTGAGTGCTGAATGTTACTTATTTTAGAATCCCAGACTGGTCTGGGTTGGAAGGAATCCTTAAGTCCATCTCATTCCACCCCCTGCCATGGGCAGGGACACCTTCCACCAGCCCAGGCTGCTCCAAGCCCCATCCAACCTGGCCTTGGACACTTCCTTGGGCAGCCACAGCTCTGGGCAACAATGACCACATGTTTGAAAGCATCTCACGCTCATGTATGTCCCCATGTTCTGTTTTAGAAGATGTCTTTGCTCCTGAAGCCTTCCCTTCAGGGGGAAGGGGCGGCAGCCGTGGGGACTGGAACAACCCCAGCTCTGACAAGATGGAATAATCTGGTTTGGGTGAGTACAGTTCCAAGTGGAGAATTTGTACACCCTGGGTCTGCAGTTTTTGGGGCAGAGGGGGCTCAGCCTGGAGAAAAGGAGGCTCAGGGGGGACCTTCTGGCTCTGCAACTCCCTGACAGGAGGGGGGTGTCAGGGCAAGGTCGGGCTCTGCTCCCAGGGAACAGGGACAGGAGGAGAGGGAACAGCCTCCAGCTGTGCCAGGGGAGGGGCAGGTTGGATGTTAGGGGGAAAAAAATTCACCACAAGGGTTGTAAAGCTTTGGAACAGACTGCCCAGGGCACTGGTGGAGTCCCCATCCTGGAAGTGTTCAAAAAACACGTGGATGTGGCACCTGAGGACACGGTTTAGTGGTGAACAAGGGGGTGGTGCTGGGCCTTGATGGTCTTTTCCAACCCGAGCAATTCTTCTGTGATTCTGTGTCTCTTTATTGGCAGACTCATTGTTTCTGCCTGATGTTTCGTGGATTCTTTGGAGCTTATCCCAAAACACCTTGACCTGGGGCCACACAGCTCGGGGAACAAAACCTGACCGTGGTGTGACGGGCCTGGGAGAGTCTGGCGCTGTTTGCCCAGGGAAAGCATTTGTTGCAGGGAATCTGTGAAGGAGATGTTTGGAGCCCAATTAATGGGGATGATGATGATTTATTTATTTATTTATTGGAGCTGGCAAGGCCTATCCTACACAATCCACCTTTGCTGACCCGCTTCTGAGGCTCTGTGTGGGAGCAGCTCTAATTGCTGCTGATACCTTACCTGCCATTTGAGGGATTTAATCTAAAGGGGGAGTGCTTTGAAAGAGTTTTGGCAACACAGAGCGTGTGCTCTGTTCCTTGGCATGCTGAACAGGTTTAAAGCAGTTGGGAAGGGAAGGTAGTGCTATGTCTTTGCGATTAAAAAGGCTCTTTTCAAGCACTCGTTTAGGTACATATCATTAGCAGGTCTCTGTCCCTGGAGAGTGCCAGAACTGAGCTCAGCTCAAGCCTCCTGCACTGGAGCCAGTTTTAAATGGAATTTAACACCGATGACTCACCAAAAAACCTAACACATGTTACTCATAAGCATATCCGTGGTAAACCTCCATGTGCTGAAGGAGACACTCCCCCCTCCCCTCCCCTGCTCTCCTGGAAACGAGATATGAAAGGAAAACCCAGGCACTCAGCTCTGTTTGTCAAAATGATTTCATTAAATCCACGTGCTATTTTAGTTTTTCCATGAGCCACTAAAGCCTGTTTTAATCACTGCCTGTCTCCTTATAGGAATCCTAATTTTTCCTTTGCATTTGGGAAGCGCCAGGTATCTTTAATCCTTTGGCTCCCAAGAGGAGCTCTCCCTGTTAAGCTTTAACACGCAATGCTTTGTGTTCCTGTACCTCCTGTCTAGCAAATCTCCAGGCCAAAAGCAAGCTGTAAAATCTTCTTGAAAGAGAAAGTGAAACGCATGGGGAGAAATTTATGGTTCTTGAAATCCTGAGCAGCTCAAAATTTAACACTCTCTGCTTGCTCTTGAAGGAGATTGGATTTTGGACATCTCAGAGGCAGATGCACCATGAGACTGGGAGAGGATATCAAAACACCCCAAAGCTCCCTGTTTATTTTTATTTTTTTTTTTTTAATCAATTGGACTTTTTAGCTGTAAAGTGTGGAGAGAGGTCTTCCTGATTTCAGCTGTTTCCAGAATGAGAGGGTTTCGTCCCTGGGTTTAATTTGGATCCACCCCCCAAATAATTTCATGTGTTTGAGGCTAGGGAAAGTTATTCCCAACTGTCTTCCCTGGGTTTTGGCACCTGTGTGATCCTGGCTGGAATTATTACAAGCCACAGTGCCATGGCAGTGTTTGGTGGGGCATGGGAAATGAGAGTTGAGATGGCAGCAGCTCAGCTGGCTTAGCTTAGCTGAGAATATTTTTGGGGAGAGGCTGGGGAAACAGCAATTTAATAATAGAAGACTTTCATCTCTTCCTCAAAGAGCCTGGTGCTGACAGGCAAAGCTAGACAAGTTTTCAGGTGAGAAATGAGATGTGGTTCCTTTTTTTTTTTTTTTTACACAACAGGATGGGTAACTGGCTGCTGCAAAAATTACTCAGGCCAGTGGCTGACAAGAGTTTTTCATGCTGGATTTTCCGTTTCCTGGACCAGATCTTCTCATCTTTTTGGCTCCAGGAGTTATTTCAGGGGAATTCTGTGCCTGGAATTCTGGGCAAGAAGCTGGGCTGAATGATCTCCCTGGTGCTTTGTAGCTCTTTTTGTTTATTAGAGTGTGCTAAATATTCAAGGAGGGCGGGGGGGGGGGGGGGGGGGTGGAATCAGTGCCGTTGTTACGTAAAGAACTTTTTGGAGTCTGCAGTCGTCAGACCCACCGGTCTGCTGGTGCCTGCAGGAGTCAGAAACTGCATCTGAAAAACCCCATCAATGATTAATGACCTCCAAGCCCAAAAAAGCAAAGGGGTCCCAGCGTTCTGCTGCTCCAAAACCACCTGCCCGAGGAAGTTTTCCTGTGCCTGACCCGTGGCTTTCATCTGGGATCTCACCAGCAATGCTTCATGTCCTTGAACAGGAAAATAAGGCAGCAAGTTCCTTGCCTTTGCAATGTGAATGCTGATATTTTTTTTCTTATTAATCACACAAGGAAAGCATTTTTTTTTAACAGAAAATCAAATCCCTCCAGCATCAAGGCTGTGATTTCCTCCTCGAGTTTTCTGTATTTTCCTGACAATTACTCTCCCTTACCTGGCACACCTTGCTGCTGGCAGGAATATGGTGGTGGCAGTTGTTGGCAGCTGATTAGCAGCCTTGCAGATGCAGAAGTGAGTGGACTGGCATCCTTGAATATTAGGGTTTATTTTTTGGTTGTTTTTTTTTTTTTTTTCAATGGAAGAGTGACTGGCAGCATTGGGCCTCTTTTCATACCAAGAAATCCAGGATCCAAACCTTCAGAGCGAAAAGGATGCTTGTTTATCTGTCTTCTGTTAATATAATACCAGAGCAGGGTGCAAAGCCCTCCTGGGGCATGGAAAAACGAGCTTTAATCCCCAGTGTCCTCATTAAGGAGCTGCCTGATTTTAGTTGCCATTTCATATCCCCATGTCTTTGTTGGGTGTTTTTTTTTTTTCCTCTCTCATTCACCCACCCACATTCTACAGTTCTCAGAAAGCAGCTTATTGCTTTCTGGGGGAAAGAAGAAGAAGCAGAAGAAGAAAAAAAAAAAAAAAAGAAGCGAAGTACCAGAGGGCAGGAAAATCCCTGGAGAGTGGGATCTGTTGCAGGGAGTGCGAGCGCCGTGTCGGATCAGCTTTGGGAGCGAGAGCCTGGGGAGTGACAGGCTGCTGTCTCAGTCCTCCTGTGATGGCTGAGCCCTTGGTGGCACCTGGCAGCTGTGCCATGCCCTGGCAGGGAGGACAGCAAGCTTTCATCTGCTCTGGGATGGAAACAGAGCCAGGCAGGACCTTTCCTGGCCGAGGTCAGAGCTGTTCTGACAGAGAGGGGAATCGCTCTGACAACCTCCTGTTGCTACTCTGAGCAGCAGCAATTTTTGCCTTGCCCTTTGTCCACCCCTTCTCGCTCTGTGTGGAAGGATTTAGACCCACAGCTGAGTGGAGGGAATTGTCCCTGCTTCTGGGGGATGCAGAGCTTGGATGACCCCTTAGGCTTCACAAGCCCCTTCATCAAATTCCTGGAGAAAACCGCCGGGACTTCCCTCCTGGAGGAGCAGAAAGGGCTCTGGGCTGCCCTCAAACTGCTGCCCTCAAACTGCTGCTGAGGGTTGGGGTTTGGAAGCATTGGAAACGAGCTCGTCAAAGGATCAGGCGGGCTGGGAAGGACCCCTCAAAGCAAGGCTGGGTTCCTGAGGGTGTGTGGCTCAGCTTTGGATACCCTGGCATGGAGATCCCTCGTCCTCTTTGGGCTCTAGAGAGCAGCACTCTTGGGGGAAGCGGTTTTTTTTTTTTTTTTTCTTAAACTGAGCTGGAATTTCCCATGTTCCCACTGGTTCCTGTGTCTTCTCCTGTCAGTTGGTCCCCAGTGGTGAGTGCAGTAGCTGGTCCTGGTCCTTAGGCCTGCAGCCCCTTCTCCAGGTGCTCCTGGACAAACTGCTCTCAGAGGGTGACTCTGTTTCATCACCTCCACGTGTGGGGATGCTCCTTTCCGACCCGGATCCAGCCCTCAAATTTTGCCAACAAAATTGTCTTAGGGGAAAAAAAAAAAATTTCAGGTTGCCATGGTGACCAACTTGCTGAAGACACAGTGTAGGCTACAGAATGCTGGAGAGACAGTCACATGTTCCCCCTGAAAAACACATCTCCAGTGTCTTCTGCATATTGAAGCTCTTAATTCAGATCCATTTCAGAGCAGACCCGGCATCAGCTCCAAGCCTCAACCATCTCTGCTTTTGAGACTTGACAATGCCTTTTGATTTGTGTACTTATTACACTGCTGTTAATTTTTCCGACAATCTGCTGCGCTTTTTTTTCCCCTCTTCTTTTTTCTTTCTTGTTGCCCTAATTAGCCACTGCCATGACATTTGTGCACATACGAAGTGTTTCGCATACGCAGGTTTCTTTCTGCAGATTCCACATGGTGGGACTCTGACGTTGAGCAAGTTAATAAGCGATAATTGGTGAGGCTGAACAAACACCCTTTTCCCAAGGCTGTGGATGTCTGGTTGCTTCTGTGAAGCATGAGACGAATTCTCAGCTCTGATATTTCTCCTTCCTCGCTGTTTTCCAAATTAGGCTGGAGAATGCGAAGAGTCGAGATTCAGAGATCCAACGTGGGAAGAAAGAACCCGATGATGCTGTGTCCTTTTGTTTGTTTGTTTGTTTTGCTGCGAAAAACTGTTCTGCAGTGAAAGGAAGTCTTTCCCCAAACTCAGTTTCTACAGTGATGGCAACTGGATGAGCTCATGAGATGCCAAATACACACTTGTCCATCGACAACCCCTTCTGATGTGCAGGATCTCCCTGGGAGGACTCTCAGGCACCGAGTGCAACCGTGTCCAGGATATCTGTGCCATCCCATAATGATGCTATTAAAAGCTCGTTATTCCATCTGTTTGCTCTGCGTTGCTCTCTGGTTGCTTGTAATTTTCTGTAATGGTCTCAGCTAATTATTGATTGTTCAAACCAGCAAACTCCCTCGATTCCTTTTTCTCCCGGGGTGCAGCAGCTGCGGGAAAAGGTGTCTTGCTACAAATCCAAAGGCTCGAGTTGCAGCCCACCAGGAAATCTGGCTTTCATGGGTACTTGGCTGCTCATGTGGGGAGCTGAGGGACACTGATTGTGAGGTGCCAGTGGCTTTAGGAAGGTTACTGTGCAGTTTAGGGGGAGGTTCTTGTTGAGTTTTTTTAATGCTTTATCAGTTATGCCACTGTCAACTGGTTTTTCTGTTTAAAGCGGCTCTCTCACCCAGTTTGGCTCCCAGTTAATTTTCCCTGCTCCTTGCAGCAAGGTGACCCGATTTGTAGGAATTTCTATCTCAAAAGCAGGAAGACACACAGTCAGAGCCCTCAGTGATCAGCTGTAGCAGCAGCTGGGAGCAGAAGGAGGTGAAAGGTGCTGATAAGGTGTAGAGGTCCAACAGAGGAAGGGATGTTTGCCTTTTCCATGGTCCTTTTGGTTTGCTTGGCTCGACAGAACTGGGAACAATCAGCCCTTCAAGGCCAGCTTGGATGGGGCTTGGAGCAACCTGGTCCAGTGAAAGGTGAGCAGAAAAACCTCCTGGGCTGTTCCCCCAAGACCTGTCTTTGTGTCCTGGGAAGGATAAGGTGGACTGACACATGAACCAGCTGGGTTTGTACTCCTCCCTGTTTCACTCTTGCTTTTCCCAGTTCCCAGCAGACACTTCTCCTGGCCTAAAAGCAGTGAATGCGGGGCCAGCAGTTGGACTCAGTGATCCTCGTGGGTCCCTTCCAACTCTGGATGCTCCGTGATTCCATAGAGTGCTGATGTACGATAATCAAACATGCACTTCTCTACAAAAAAAAAAAGAAAAAAAAAAAGGCAAAGAATACCCTTTATTTTCTCCCCCCAGCAAAATGAGTTCTGCTCCCTGCTGCATGTATGCAAATGCCTTCACACCTAGAAGCTGACTTGGCATCTGCTGTGCAGATGTTTATCTGGCAGCAGGGAGTAGTATTTCCTTTGTCCTGGTCTCAAATCGCTGACTCAAGCACTGGATGCTCCAGCATACCAATGACAGTTGCTGTGGATGTTCCCTTCCAGCCCTCCCCCCCGGCTGGGAGTCGGGGCTGTGCGAGCGGGCCACGCGTTTTGCTGTCGGATTTTGCTCCGGGAGTGGAGATTTATGCCCCAGCAGGGACAGGGAGGGAGCTTTCCCCGCGCCCTTCCACGTGCTGCTTGCCCCGGCAGGAATGCTGCAGAGTAGAAACTCTCCTCCTGCAGACTTTGAGGTTGCTCAGAAAACTCTGAGGCAGCAAATAAAAGGAGCGATGGCTGAAGGGAGACGGCAAAGGGATTAGAGCGGGGCTTGGGCTGCCTTTGTGGCGGTTGGTTTGAGCGTTGCCTCACCAGAAGCTGCAGTATGGTCACCCTTTCAATGTGTAGGATGAGGGAAGAAGGGAGGATTTACCTGTGTAGGGATCTGGGGAATGAGCAGGAGCATTTCCAGTGGTGGCAGTGGCAGGATACCTGGCTCCTGCACAGCCTGTGTGTCCCTGGGGAAGGATGGAAACTGCTGACTTTCTGCTCTCTGGGAGAAGCAGTAAAACCTGCATCCATGGCAGAATCGCTCCTTTTGTCTGCATTTTCTCTGTTTTCTTTTTTTGTTTTTTTTTTTTTTTTTTTTTTTT